ATTTTTTTCTATTTAATAATATTTATTTCAAACTTGCAAGTTGAGTTAAAAGTTATGGTAATAAATTCATTTTTTTTTTATTAAAACTTTCACTTTAAAGAACAAAAAGAAGTAGGTTCAAAATGATTACTTTTAACATATTAAAAATCAATAATAATTTGAAAATAATTAATTATAAAAATTATATAATATATAATTAAACTAATTACTAATCTGGATATAATTAAGGAAATAGGAGTTGATGTTGGGTTGGGTTGGTTACATTTTTAACTTTATAATGCTATAACTCATTGAAAAGTGTACGAATCAACACAATTTTTTTATGAGAAATAATATTTTTTAATAATCCCTTTTTCATTCGACATACTTTATCTTAATCAGGGTATTAATAAGAAACTAGCAGATAATGTAGCTTTTGTAATTATCCACCAATTTCTTAGAATTAAACACTATCTACTGATTTGCATCGAAGCGTTTCTTATGATAGTGATTTTAATCACTGTCAGATTAAATCTATACTGGACCCAACTATGCAACATCCCCACTATGCCGCGACCCCACTGTGCTGGGTTACTTTTTTTTATTGGGACGGGAGGACAGTGGAAAATACGACCGAATTTTTTTTTTAAATATAGATTTAAATTGTGATCAATTTTACAATTATTTATTATTTTATTACAAATATATTGTAATAAAATAATTTTTTATAATTTATATGATATCATATTTCATTATAGTATGATAATGAAATATGATTTATTAATAAATACTAAATAATGTAATGAGTAAAAAAAAAAAAAAGGTCTTCGGGAAGCAGTTTTCAAATTGTTAGGTTGAGCTCCCCTACTTATTTTTTGCCAATTCGAGCACTGGATGTATGTACGGCACTCAAAAACTGATCTAATCAAATTATTAAAGGCGGTGTAAGCTATTTTGACGCCAAATTTAGTTAGTCTAGTAGTTTTCGTTTTTATGTGATATCGCATATACCCGTTGTTTTTTTCCGCCGTTGGGTCATAGTATGGGCTTTGAAGCGACAGCATGGTTATTGTGAGTATACTAGATCTGTGGTTGTTTTAAGTACAACATCACTCATGTAAACTTTGATATTTTATGTTTCTTCATTTGTGTCACCGAACAGTTCAAAGACTTCGAAATTTGCGTCACATTTCATTCCGGTCGTGGTCATCCTTATTAAAAGGCAGTTTGAAGGAATTGGACATTTCAATCGAAGGACAATGTATAAATCAGATCGGATCTCCATATAATTCTCTTACAATATTATTGGTATTCATGTATATGCGTCCTTATTAACCATATAAGTGTACTAATCTTATATTAGTTAATAAGGAGGCTGTAATACAGTGAACCGTATCCATGTTTAAAAACCTAGTTTTATCATTTATTTATGTATTATGCATGTTAGATAAAATGATTTACAAAAAAGTCGACGAGTCGATCGCCCTGTATGAGTTTGCTGGAAAAACATAATATAAACTTGATATGTACCTATAGTGTTTTATAAAAATAAATTGAATTTTTATGAAAAAATCATAATTTAACGAAACATTCTTAGAAAAATTACATTGTACATAATGTGGTATAAAAATATTTTTTAGATGAGGACAATTATTTTGTTACAAAATATAACCTATACTGGAAAATGTTTAAAATTTAGTTGTTAAACTGAAGCCACTAAAAAATTAAATGGTTTGAATCCTTATTTTATATGTTTATGTTAAAGGGTGTATATAGAATTCAAAAAATTTTGAAGAAAAATTAATTACACAAATAATTTAGAAATTCATTAAATTTGTGATAATACCTTGACAACACATCAATTAATATTTTATTTATTTTAACTACAAATTTATTATTTTTCACTTATTTATTTCATAATTAAGTTCTTTTGTATGTATAATTTGCAGCATTCAAATTACTTTTTCAATAATGAGTAGATCCAACGATTCTATAAAAGAAATATATAATAATGGAATGATGGATGAACGTATCAATAAGTTATCAATGAAAACCTCCTCTTATAATCGTAAAGAATCTATAACGAAAGACTCATCAATCAATAATGCGTTAACATGTTATATGAAAAAGACAAATAGTGGCATTAGTTTGTAAGTAGTAATAACATTTAACTTTTATAAAGGGTCATATATAATTTAAAGAAGTTTTATCTTACATTAATTAATAAAAAACCCAGCACAGTGGAGTCGCGGCATAGTATGGACGTTGCATAGTTGGGTCCAGTATAGATTTAATCTGACAGTGATTAAAATCACTATCATAAGAAACGCTTCGATGTAAATCAGTAGATAGTGTTTAATTCTAAGAAATTGGTGGATAATTACAAAAGCTACATTATCTGCTAGTTTCTTATTAATACCCTGATTAAGATAAAGTATGTCGAATGAAAAAGGGATTATTAAAAAATATTATTTCTCATAAAAAAATTGTGTTGATTCGTACACTTTTCAATGAGTTATAGCATTATAAAGTTAAAAATGTAACCAACCCAACCCAACATCAACTCCTATTTCCTTAATTATATCCAGATTAGTAATTATTTTAATTATATATTATATAATTTTTATAATTAATTATTTTCAAATTATTATTGATTTTTAATATGTTAAAAGTAATCATTTTGAACCTACTTCTTTTTGTTCTTTAAAGTGAAAGTTTTAATAAAAAAAAAATGAATTTATTACCATAACTTTTAACTCAACTTGCAAGTTTGAAATAAATATTATTAAATAGAAAAAAAT